TCAAACCTTGAGACCCTCACTTTTTTACTGCGGCGCGGGCCCTGAACCGCATTCAATCGAGGACCCTCAGAATAGATTTCCATCTAATGAAAGGAGCGCAGCGAGGAGGAGCTTCCATTAACTTCTCCTGGATAAAACTTTGGCTTGTTTGTTGAAGTCGTGCGTGTAAAACACTCAGCGGCGTTTTCAAGTGCGCTCCACGGTTACTCCAGCTCACAGCGGAGCTGCGACTCTGCCGGAGCGTCGCTGGGACGCGGAGCCGGCTGCACGCTGGTACAGAAGCTGGTGTAAGGAGGCGGACGTTTGAAGGACGTTAAACGCAAACTCTTTATGCAAGAATTCACTTCTCATTTCACGGTGAAAAGTGCAGGTCAGCAGCACGTCAGCCCACAATCAGCTGCTTTCATATATTAACTTGAGCCGCGGCACATTTTACCTTCAGCTGTTACAGAATTACACACGTGGGTCCAAATTTGGTGCTTTTTGATAGTTTTTCCAGCATTTTCGGTCCATTGTAGCTTCATACAGGAGACGTCCACGTTACGCCTTCGCGGCTGGAAACATAAAGTCTGTTAAAGTTGGAGCTAAATCAGTTTAACGTCCACTCTCAAAGATAAAAATCTGCTGTCGCTGATTCGCTCCGGGTCAGAATCATTTTCCTTAAATTCTTTCTGCTGATAAATGGAAAATGAAACAATATTTTCTGATTTGTTAAGACGATTTTAAAGTCTTCATGTCATGTCTGATACAGTTCGCTCACTTAAGTAAAGAGAGGTGGGTCAGGAAATGAGCCAAAGTCTGAGATGAAGCTTTTGTAAGCAGAGCTCGGAGAAACGTTGAAGTTTCCTGAGGAAGATGGGAGAGTTTACAGTTCAGGTGCTGAAGATGACGTCACAGGCCTCCTGAAACGTCCACAGTGTCCACGGAGAAGGATGACACGTGTCATCTCATGTGCTGAGCTGTGTAAACAGAGCCAACGCCGCTGAGCCCTCATCGGTTGGCTTTCCCTCCCCGACGTCTGCAGCGTGAATCCAACAGCTCCTCTCACAGCGTCTTAATCGCTGCTTTGAAGGCCAAATCGAGATGAAGATCTTCAGCCGTGCGGAGTTTACGGGTAAAAAAAACTGAACCAAAGCGACGTCTGCCTTGAAATGACTTTTACTGTCACATTAAAATAAAAGAGCAACTTTCTTCTTCTTCATTCAGAGGAATCAGAGGCGCTTTGAACTGCAGTCGGTGTGAGTGGAGGGAGGTGCACCGGGTGTTTTTCAGCCTCATCCTCAGCACATCTCTGCTTTTCTTTCAGATCCACATCATTGACTTTGATGATGAGAATAACATCATTAATAAGAACGTCCTTCTGCACCAAGCTGGGGAGATATGGCACATCGGCGCCAGTCCTGCAGATAAGGCTGTGCTTACCACCTGCTATAACAAAAGTGAGTCCCACTGTTTCCTTCTGTCTGTGGCTCCATTCTCTTTATGTTCCTCTTTTTCCTGTGTGCATATATTACATCCTCCTCTTTTTATTCCCACTTCTGATGTCTAATGACCCTGCAGCCGCTCCGTCCTCACAGGCCAACGTCAGCAGCTGCGTTATAAATCAGACTCTGATAGAATCGATACTAATCTGTGACCACGACGAGCCACGCGAGTCTCGCTGTGGCAGGATGAAGGTCACACAAACGTCTCGTGTGCAGATTGTATGAATTCTTTTTGTTGATCTTTATTTACAGAGAGTCTGCTCGCGCGGGCCTGCCGGTAACCGGTAAAATGAAAGAAGCCGAGCGGGCCTCGTGACAGGAAATGCTGTTTTATTTAAATGAGTGCGCGTTTCCACGATGACGCACATCTGTAAGAGTCTGGGAGACCGACTGCTGCAGATTCCCGTTTCTACTCTATGCAGCAGCTGCTCAGCAGGTCGCAGATCACCCAATCACAACCTGTCACCACAGGACGCGCCATCTAATCTTCATGAATGATCAATAATAAAGATGAATCATGTTTGAGTATTTTATCCATCAACTATATGCTGAATGACTCGTTCACTTTATTGCATTTAGTAGAAGCTTACATGAGGAAAACGGAAAACGAAGATGAAGATGTCTCCACAAACCCGACACCAACACAGCGGGTAAAACCCACGGACCCAGCTTTAAACTGAAAGCTGGACGGACCAAGATCCCCTTCAATAAAAGCTTGTAGGGCGTTACAGCAGCGACGCGCACCAGTGAGCTGCCGTCGCCCTAAAAGCCTTTTTTACACAGTGAGCGAAAAAACTACACGAAATTCAGAATTTCTCAGATTCAGATTCGTCGTGAGGTGTGCGCACACCGAAAGCGAGAACGCGCCGTGAATAAACCGGAGTGGACGAAAATCCGTGACAAGCTGATCCTGATGTTTCTGAAAGACAAAAAGAAGAAATGCAGATTCTGGTTCGTCTTCTCAGGACCGGGCACAGCAGGGAGGAGTCGCTGGTTCAACCCCGGAGTCGTGCATGCTTCAGGATGTCCGCGGGGCAGTCGGGAATCACGCCAGAGAGCCGGCTGACCCGTAGCCGCGTGTCTGAGGTCCAACAGGTTGCGTGTTTCAGTCCCAGTGAGCGTGTTTGAGCTGTGAGCGCACTTGTTGCCACATGCAGTGCTCTAATTGGTCAGATTTAAGTAGTAAATTCGTCACGAGACACGACGTCGTGGCCGTGAGTCCCAAAAATATTTTTAACACGCGAGTTGTGAGCTTTATATTAAGCGCTATAATAAATATCACGTGACCCACAGCTAAGAGTGCATGCATCCAGCAGATGTTTTTGTAACGCAGCTGTCGCCCCCTGGTGGCCGTTAACTTCCGGACACTACGTCGATCTTTTAGGATGTTTTTTGTTTGTTGCGTGACCCCAGACGTTGCGGTCGCGCGCTCGTTGGTGCCCGGTGCCCTCGGGTCTCCGTCGCACTTCAAAACGAACGTTTGCGTCTCCCCGAGACGTTCGCCTGGATAAATCAAAGCTTTTAATAAAGCTGGACTGGTGGAGTTTGAGCTCCTCTGGAGGATAGAAGGCGGAGAGGAGACAGCCGTGTCAGGTGGGACTCGGGGCGGATCGCTCTGGGACTGGGTGTAGTCTCCACGCTCCCCCCTCCGTCTCCGTCTGTCTGTCAGCTGCACGCTCGAGTTCACAGGATGACAGCCACGGTGAACGGCCCACCACGCGCCGCTGCCCACACCGACACCGGCGCAACCCAAATATATAGAAACACAACAGGCAGCAGCGCATTAATGCAGGGCTCGCACAGAGCCCCGCCACTTAGTCCGAGCGCAGGCTCGTCTGAATCCACTCAGGAAATCTGTGGACTCGTCGCCATGCTTTTAATTTGACAAATAGGCCCGACGCCTGCCCACGCGCTGCCAATACCTACACCAAAAAGAAACGAGTCTTTCTCTCCACCCGCAAACTTTTAGTCCAATTACTGTATGACTGTGCTCCACTCTACATCTACTCCTCTGGTTCCAATTAGCAGCTCCAGCCCTGGCGTGGATGTGCCAAAATAACTCGTTTATTATGTGGATTAGGAAGAGAGTGTAGTCACATTAGTGCCTGTACATCTCACGCACACACTAACAAAGCTTATCCTTATGCTGCAGTCACTGTTTAACCTGCTTAAGACGCCACCGGGGATCGTTAAAGGTTTCATTTATTAAGCAGTGATTCAGCTTGAAACTGGGTGACAATGAGGAAAAATAGAAATTCAAAGAACAAACATTAGCAGAGGTGGACAACTTTATCCACCTGGATGGGCTCTAAGTTTTTCATGCAACACTTTTTATTTCCAGAGTTTAATCAAAGTTGAAAGTTTGGCAAAATGTCTTAAAATATCCAGATTTAGATATCGGGGACACGGACCACTGTCCCCACATATCAGTAAAACAAGAGCACCCTCCTCCCTAACACTGTGTGTGTGTGTGTGTGTGTGCAGCCAGCGACAGCAGGGTGGTGTCCTGCGCGGCCGTGTGGCGGATGCCCTCTGACTGGGAGACAGGAAACCACGAGTCACCTGACGAATCCGCCCACAACCCCCAAACCCTGGAGCTGCTCTGTCACCTAGACGACAGCACCCACGGCAACGCTGCCTGGTAGGTGTTGCCGGGGAACCGCTCAGAGTCGTGGCACAAATGATGCAAGAGCTCCTTTGATCCGCAGTAATGTGTTCGACTGCTTATTAGAAGACGGGTGTTAATAATAACTCCAGGACGACCTGCAGCTCACAGAGAGTCAAATAAACGACGAAAAACAGATTTCAAAACTCCTTTAAAGCTTTTCTCTCAATACAAAATATCTGCAGCAAACTTTACTATCAAACGAGACACTTGTGAGCAAAACTCTGCACGGAGCACAACGCAGGCTTTCTAATGAAGGAGGCTGCAGCGCTGTCAGGCCAACCTGATAACGTTTAAACAGTCCAGGCTAAGATCAACCAGGCGAGTGTAGAGCTGCAGGTTCGAGTCTCTCCGGGTGTTTGCGCTGTCATAAATAATGTGATCATTTATGTGGCTTCATTTGATTCTCCCAAAGCTTTGTTAGATATCACATATTTGAGAGCGAGGCAGGAAGTCGTCATAGTTACACTGTAACAAAGAGTCAGCCTTGGACTTTGTAGCTTTTGCCTTTCTGCAGATACTTGACATGAAGTTGAGGCTCAATAAAGCTAACACTGGTATGTTAGCACCAAGGTGCAACCTCTGCAGCTGAACAGAGAAGCGCCAAAAGCTGCAGTTCCTCTGACGTCCAGCAGAGGCAGCAGTGAGTCAGTCCACATAAATAAACATGTTTACAGGACGATGCACAAACAGTTTGGGCTCTGAGGATGATTTAAACAGCTGCTGATGAGATGAGGCTTTATGGGGTTTGTGGATGTTTGCTGGTTTTGTTGGGTTTCTTGGATCTGAACACGTTTAAGCTTGCTGTAGACCAGCGGGCTCCGACCCCGGCCCGGTACCGGCCCGCAAGAGTTGAGGAGGACGCTGCTAATAAAGTTACACAACTACACAGTGAATTTGAATTATTATTATATTTACAAAATACCACAGTTTTTGTTTTGGTCGTATCATTTTATCTTGTTGTTTTTATCCGCGACACCTTAAAGGCCGGGCCGTGAAAATATTGTCAGACATTGAACCGGTTCGTGCCGCAAAAAAGGTTGGAGACCGCTGCTGCACAATGTGTGCATGCGAGCTGTTTTGCACTCTGGCATTGACCCGTGTTGAGCCCTCGATCTGTACCACCAGAGGGCGCTGTCACAAATAGCTGGTCTGTGGGCCGCTCTCCTTCAGGCTTGTGCTGTAGTTGTTCCTGTAAAGCTCCTCGTGCTTCGATCGTAGATGTTTTTCTCATCATCAGTTCATGTATCGAACCAATCAGCATTCAGCGAACCATCACTGGGAGTGCACGCTACCAGGAAACCCGCCATGCCTCTCATGTGGGCTGCATGCGTCCACGAGGTGATGCTTGGTTTGTAGATGAGGGACGAGCTGTGCTCTTTAAACTGTGACACGGCGTGAAGCGTGTCAGTGACATCACAGAGCGTGTTGTTCAGAGCGCCACGTGTAAAACTGGACGTTTGCCCTCGCCAGATAAAGACAGAACGACCTGCAGGCGGTTTCAGGCGCGCTGCGTCCGTTTGATGCTGACATTACAAATCCAGCATCTACGGCACTAAAGACATGAGGTGGAGCAGACACTGACCCCGCCCACACGCTCCCGTATACGGGCGCCTTCGTTTCCGTTCTGGCTCCGACTCAGGTGGAAGAGTGGGCCGTGCACCGTCCCGAGGGTCAGAGGATCGATCCCACGCTGCTCCCGCCTGTTAGAGAGTCCTTAATTACAGATTAAAATGTGTGTCTGTGTGTGTGTGTGTGTGTGCGCGCGTGCGTGCGTGTGGCAGAAAGTATTTCGAATGTCCGCCTGAGCGGCGCCATGTGAGTCCCGGTCCATTTCATTTCACTCAGGCTGTAGTCGCGGCCCGATCCTTTTGTCTTACTGTCAGAGCTCCTCGCCATAACTCAGAGCCCCACGAGAGCCAAAATCAATGCCCCCCCACCCCCCCGCCTTTACTCCACTCTTCATTGTCCGCCTCATGATTGCGATCATTTTTAGAGGCACCAATCAGTTAGTGTGATGCATACTGCAGGTGTCTGCGAGGGGGAGATAAAGATGGAGGAGGTGAAGAAAACAGAAAGATGGAGGGTAGCTCAAGAAAGGAGACGAGACCGAGGAGATTGAATTTGTGCAATTGTGTGTGTGTGTGTGTGTGTGTGTGTGTGTGTGTGTCAGAGGGCAGGTCAAGCAAGGCTGCTGGGTAGAGATTGATGTCTCTGAGCTCCACCATCTTAACACACCGAGAGCTGTAACCCTCACAAGGGCACCAAACTGTGTGTGTGTGTGTGTGTGTGTGTGTGTGTGT